TGTTTTAATGAGCCCTCCATTGTGGAGCGCTGACTGATATTATTAAGCTGCCGTGTCTCAGCTCATTAGCTAAACCAGGCTCAACAACAACACCAGCAGCTAAAAGATGATTTGATACCGCCTGCAGAGTTATGCGACACCACAGGACCTTAAAGAGGTCGTGGGGAGAGGCAGAGCAAGTGAGTTAATTCGGTCACTGGGAATGAGTCGGACTAAATCTTGCTTCCCATGACACAAAAAATAAGAACAGCAGGCAGAGTTCAACCACCCCTTTTGTAAAGCTTCCCACAAATTAGCCTGGAATATTCAGTGTTTCTTCAGTCGTCATCAATACTGTATAGACAACACTGCTGCAGGTGCATATTTTACCATTTGTTCTCACTTATGAGAATGCTTTAGTTTTCTTTGTCAGCATTGTATGGTTTTTATTAGAGCACTTAAATCATTCAAATGCATTGATGTGTGGGATAGATTAGTATGACTTGATGATATCTCACTTAACTAAGTAAACTGGAAGAAAAGACTAAGGTGTCTATTCATTACATAAAACCTGTTACATCCAATGAAACGTCCCAAATATCTTGTTTGATAAGGCGTCTCTAAAGCTTCCCACAGCCTCGAGCAAACACGCACGAAACCCCAAACTAAACATAATGCTAAGCTTTGCCATAGAACCAAGTCCCCACAATCAAACAAGTCCCCGTGTGTTGGTGTACATTGAGGTTAAAGCACCCATCTAACACAATAAACATGACCACACACACAGAGACACACTTCTCAAAAGCATGTCTGACCTTTTGCGAGCAATTTTTAGAGATGTATTATGGGTATTGTAGTATCAGTTAATGCTATATTGTACATTCCACTTTAAAGATGTTTGCACTTGACTGCTCTTGAAACTAGTTCTTCAAAGTGACTCTTATAAGTTCACACAAAGGGTGATATAAATATATTTTATTTTTTTATATCATTATATGATATATATATCCATCCATCCATCTCCGCTTATCCTTTTCAGGGTCGCGGGGGGCGCTGGAGCCTATCCCAGCTGTCATAGGGCGAAAGGCGGGGTACACCCTGGACAGGTCGCCAGTCTGTCGCAGGGCCAACACACAGGGACAGACAACCATTCACACCTAGTGACAATTTGGATTATCAATTAACCTATCCCCACAAGCTGCATGTCTTTGGACGGTGGGAGGAAGCCGGAGTACCCGGAGAGAACCCACGCAAACACGGGGAGAACATGCAAACTCCACACAGAAAGACCCCGGCCTGATGGTGGAATTGAACTCAGGACCTTCTTGCTGTGCGGCAACAGTGCTAACCACCGTGCCACCGTGCTGATTATATATATATATATATATATATATATATATATATATATATATATATATATATATATATATATATATAATTATATATTTATATTATATATATATATATATATATATATATTATATATTATTATAATATTATACTTTTACAAGCTCAATAATGACAAAGTCTGTGTGATGCCGTTTGAAAATTTGAATAAAAATATTAGAATGGATGGTATGTATTTATTAAGTTGATAATGATTATTTTTCACTATAATAATAATAACAACAAATTTGGACAAAAAAATTCTCCAGGAATGTTTGACCATGAGAATTTGAGAAATTAGTCTGTGTGTTATGCCCTGCGACAGACTGGCGACCTGTCCAGGGTGTACCCCGCCTCTTCGCCCTATGACAGCTGGGATAGGCTCCAGCACCCCCCGCGACCCTGAAAAGGATAAGCGGAAGCGAATGGATGGATGGATAGTATAAATGCAAAAATTAGGCATTACCATTAAAAAAATTATTGGTAAATTTATGCTCAAATTTTTGTAACTGTACAGGCACTCTGCATGTCTGCACTCACCGAAGCCGAGCTGCTTACCCGACACAGGGGCCGGGGGAGTGCAAACACTGCTGGGATACAGTTCAGAGATTCTTTGCTGGGCCAGCTCTGAAAAACAACAATACAAGATGAGACGGTTTATTTTGATATATGAAAATTGAAATCTCTTTACTTCTCTGGTGTTGACTTGACTTAATGCTGTCATGTGTTCCAAAACTAGAAAAGAACACATGTGACGTAAATAATTAGTTACATTTGATCTTTTTAGCTTTATTTGATAGACTTAGTGAAGAATAGACAGGAAATCGAGGGCAGACATGCGCAAAGGGCTGTGGCTCGAGTTCAAACCCGGGCCGGCCGCTCTTGGTCATAGGCCACGTGGTCGCCCGCTCAACTCACTGAGCTAAACCAGCATCCTGTTAGATTTTCTTTTTGAAGATTCCAAAATATTGAGTTGTTTTTTGTTCATCTTTTTTAGGGACACTGAACTGTTACGACTCCATGTTGTTAGTTTGTCAGACAATCATGTGATCAAATTTGCACTGATTGCCTTGGAAGCTTAACCATGTGACAAGTTCTTCCTTCGAGGATGAATTGCAGTGTGCACTTCTGCTTTCTACTGCAAACACTACACAAGCTAAAAGACGGTTTTACCTTACTGGCAATATTTTCTATGCTAAACAGTTCTGTTGTTGAAATAGCAGAGAAGATTAAAGAGGAGATGATCAAAAAAAGACGTGACAGACAAAGGGGGAGGGAAAAGAGAGTAAGGTATACAGAAATTTTAAGCTTTTCTGCAGACAGACAAGACAGCTTTGAATCCCTCTTCATCATCTCACTCTGTTCCTCCTCGTTCCCCCTCTGTAGTATTTACATGCTGCTTCTTCGCTTAATCCAGCCTTCGGGATGCCTACTTCACTTCGTTACCTCTCAGCCTGGAGATGGAACCCTTGGATGATGAGGGAGATTTTTTTTTCTTCTTCTTTCTCCATTTCTCTACCGCCATCTCAATCTCTTCTCTGCTCACTCAAGCGTTGGCTACACCAAAGCCTCCAGCATCGATCCAATAAAGCTGGTAGCCCCGCCATGGCAAAGCTCGGAGAGCCCGCACCCCAACCTAGCATTTGAGCACGCTCAATTAAAGGCGTGTTAATTGAGAAGGCTGGTGTGGGGGTATCTCTTTTTTATACTTTTAAAAAGTGTAATCAATAACTGTCACACTGGGCAGACGTGAGCTTACACACTCAAACCGCACACACACATACAAACACACACACAGATCTCTAAATCTCAATTACCTCCCCTGCCAATCCCCTAAATAGACCAAATATTTGTTTGCCAGCACTGGAATGTATTATTCACACGTGGGAATAGATGTGGGCAAAGGAGTAAAACTGCGTGCTAAGCACACTAAGGTGGTTTCTGCCTTTGTGCTGGGTTAAAGTTTGACATTTTGCACCTGTTTAAAAGTCAATTGGATCCCTTCTCCAATAAGCACGCATCATCAAAAGCACCATTTTGCTCGCTGATGCACAGCAGGTGCAGGTGCAGAGGGGGAAGCTTACAGATGGTTTGCGCGCATTTGTCTGTGTGTGGAAGTTCTGTATATTTCAGCTGCTGTCCAGCACATAAAAATGACATTTAGAGTTGTTCCCAAGAGTCTCCCAAATAATCACAAACAGGTAAAGAAATAGTAAACAAGAGAAAAAAATGTTAACGAATACTGTGAAGAGAGTATTTTGTACGCTTTTCTCGAGACCTTTGTGTGTTTCAAAGAGGTTGTGCAACCCAGTTTCCAGCTTCATAATTGGTATCTGATGCTTTAGAAAATTTTGTAACCTTTTAAAACACATTCCCCTTTTGTCAGTTTTCTTTTTCCTGCCAGCTTCTTCTGCTGCTTATTGTGTGTACAACCTTATGAACAAAATCAATGTACTAGTTTTCAACCTCAGCAGAGCCACAGAGATCAGGGTGCAGCCAACCTGAAGCTATTGCAGGTTTTGGCCTAAGACGTGGCAGGAAGACACAATGTGCAGCCTTTTCTGAGAAGAAATGTTTCTATTTCTTATATATACATGCTTTTTTCTTTTCTTAATAATTTCCATTCACTCTGTTTTATTCTGCAAAATACCCACACAAAGATCACACAACTTTAATAAAGTATAAGTGTGACCAGATCGAGTAGTGAGATTTTCTTTCTTCCAAAAGTTGATTAATTGTTTGACCTCTAAGCCAACAAATCAGTCAAAAAGAGCTTGTCTCTTAATCTTTAGCTTCCTGAGTTTGTGTATTATTTAATAATTTGGTGCTAGACCGATTTACGCATTCATTTGGTATTACCGTGGGTTTAACACCCTCCAGGCATACAAAACCAGAGTTTGAAGTGTGTGGTGTTAATGTGAAATAGCTCATGTATCAATCCTACCTGCAGCATCATAACAAGTCAATCACCAGGCACCATTATTGGACTGTAATGCTACGTCCTAGCCGCACACTCGATGTTCATTATGTATAAGCCAATTCATTTACAACACAGTGCTATTGGATTGTCCTTGTCTCGACATTCATTTCCCACCACATTGGCGTTTGATGCGTTGCCAGCACCAGTTAACTTTGATAACTCAGCCCCGGCTTAATATACTGCAGCTGAATTGGCTTGACAAGAGTTTAGCGATAAGCTATTTCTGAGCTTTCTGAGTGGCGATAGCTGGATTATCACTCGGAGCGAGGGAGAGGCAGGAAAAAACTTTGCTGCTAACCTTCCTGGCCAAAAGTCATTAAAATGTTTAGTTTGTTTATGTTGGCAGACAGGCACAAACAGGGGCACGTACAGCGATTAAAACTATGTCCTAGGCTTTAACGATTTGCATAACTCACTCCTCTTTTGCATTATTGTGGATTTTAATGACAGTGTTCAAATATATTCTGCATCTTTTCAAAGTGAGACATTTATCTTTCGGAGCGGCTTGAGTGTGTGAACTCTTTTGTGTGGCTTTTTGAAAAATGCACATGTTGTAAATACTGCTCTGACAAAATTGTTTCTGATAAGCAGCTAAGCCAATAAAATGAAGTGAATTGCTGCCTCCAGCTGATGTGATTTTTTTCTTTTGCTCCAGGCACGCTGCCAGGAGCTGGGCCGTTCTCTCAAGTTGCTCTGATCGACTGATTGATCCCTCGATCCATCGCTCAGCGCCAAATGGGAGCTCCCATAGGAGGTATGTGGGGGACCAAGGTCTTCCTCCTGGTGTTTCTGGTCGGATGGGAGAAATCGCTGGGCCTCAACTGGAACCCGATCCCGCGCAAGACTGTTCGAAATCAAGGTGAGCGATGAGTGAATTAAGAGCTGATAGTTTGTAATAGGGATGGAGTAAGTTATAATTTTGGGATGACATACTGACATATTGTCTTCAGGCCAAGGAGGGACCCATGGGTGGGCCCAGTGAGAGAGTACTAAAGCTTATGTGCCTCCAAGTGGAAACAATAACATGTACTGGGATTTTTTATTTACTTTTTTTTTTCAGTTTTACAATCAAGCTTTTGCATAGGTTGTTTTTTTCACCTGATATCTTCACACACACAAGTGATAGTGTTGATAAACTATATACTGTGAATACTAAAGCCTCGACCTGGGTGTTTTCACCATTTTCATCTTTGTATTTTGAAACTACGTGATGAACAAGGCGTGGATCTGACCCTAAGGACACAACAGACGTCACAGACATCTAGTCACAGATCACCTCCTGCCTGCTTTTAGAAAGAATTCAGGTTTAAGACAAATCAACCTGACTTTTCGGATTCATCTACACTTTTATATAAAGTTGCTGACAGTATGCACTCACAGATACCATAAATATCCCTGCCCTACAGGCACTATAAGTTCCTCCAAATTGAATTCTCTGCATTCCTTCAAAGATCAGCCCTGTTAAGACAAGCCATTACTAGGGATGGGTACCAGTATCTGGTGCTATTATGGCACCGGTTCTGACATAATCGGTAGTAACCAGACCGAAAAGCAGCGCACATTTCGGTGCTTTTTTTTCCTGAGATGTCATACACTTTGGATTCTAGCCAATCATTTTACCTTTCCGAGGATAGTAGGCGGGCCCAGGTACGTACGTTCTTTTAGAGCAGAGCTACAGATTAAAAATGCCCAAGGCGAAGCGGTCAAATCTGGCTGTACTTCACAGCAAAAGATGCAAACTCAGCAGCCTGCAACAAGTGCTTTAAGGTGATACTGTGCAAAGGAGGTAACACCTCGAATCTGATGAAACACCTGGCGACGCATAGCGTTTTTTTTAAAAGCCGAGAAATGCCCGTATTTGATAGCTTGCTGCGAGACCTCACACCGTGCACATCTACTGCGGGTGTGGTGCCGTTATCGGACCCGGATAACATCCCCCAAAAACCCGAAGAATAGAGTCCTGGCCCCTAGCCCTGCCAGTGTAGCAGAAATGATGACGGATGATGATGGCAGCAGCAGCCGTTCTTCTCTGCGTGAGTCGCTTAATGTTGTTCGTGTGTAATTTACGTTGAGTAGGCTAACCACGTTATTACATTAATGCATGTAAGGTGAACTAGCAAACACCGTCGTAGCTACATGCGGCTGTCTTCTTGTTTGATGGCAGATACTCCCTTCACCCTGGCCAAAAAGGCTAAAATGACCAAAGAAAAAGTGGAAACAGCTAAACATGAGAGGTTTTTGGACAAAGTTTGTGTTTTTTCCATTGATTAAGCACTGCTTCCAGCCAAGAGTGATACCATAAATCCCCTATAGCTGCAGAAAAGGCTAACATTGTTATCTTTTTACAAAAAAACAGCTGAACATGAGAGGTTTTTGGACCAATTTTGTGTTCTCCATTCTTTAAGCACCGCACGTTTCAAAAGTACCGGTTTGGTACTGGTATCGGATAAACCTAAACGATACCCATCCCTAGCCACTTCTGGCCAGTGTTACAGAAGGTGATACATTTACACATCCCTGATATTATATCCACTGACTGAATCCTCTAAAAGAAATGTTTCATTTTTATGCGGTCTTCTGACCGAGCCAATAAGGTCGATTTATTAGACTGATAGATCAGTCACTGAAATGACTTATTTGGTCAGGCATCGGATACAAAACCAATAATTGGACAGATGTATTCCATAACAACAATCAGGAGGATTTCTCCGTTATATCAGAGGTGGAGGTTTTCTGAGATAAGGCCCACATCGACCCTCAGTGAAACAATGCATCAGTATAATCCTAGCGCTCAGCTGAATTTGCACCATTTATCTCAGCTCTCCTCTGCAGCCAAACCCAGCTTTCTTCACTGAACAATGCCAATTGTTGCGAGCTAAGAAATAGTCTTTTTTTTTTAATCCCTCCAGGGAGAAGAGCTGCCTCACTCTCTTGGGGATTAGGGAAATACTATAAAGAGAAGTGGGGGGGAGGAAAAAGCTGTGAAAAAGTATATTTTCTCACCTCTCTGTTCCACCTATCCCACCTTTCATCCCATATCTCTCGCTCCCTTTCTCTCTCTTCCTGCTCTTTCTTTTTTGCCTTTTATCCCTCCCCTCCCCTCTTTTGCTTTGTGTGCCGCGGCTCATCGTATGAACCTGAAATGCTCTTATGGCGTTTTCACAAACAGCTTCGATTTCAGCCGCTCTCGAGGAGAATGGTGCGCACGGCGGTAGCGGCAGCGGCGAAGGAGCGTGGGGATATTTCAAAAGCTTCTTTCACAGCCGCTATCACTCCCATTCTCCTTTTCTTTTTTTTTCTATATCCTTACAACACCTCATCACTGGCGTTTTTGGTGTAATGTAAGGACAGAGAAGATGGGGGGAAAAAACAATCAGCAGGGTGTTGATAGTTTGTGGTGAAATGCTCCGTTGTGACAAAGTGAAGCCAGCGCTGGCACAGAGCAGCACAGATCTCTGCTGCTGCACTCTAGCCGGCACACACTTTGGCTGGCATACACTTGTGGCGAAGACACACCAGACAGGGGAAACGGGGACATCTGCTACCAAGGAATAAATAACCCTTTTTTTGCATTTTTCCTTTTTAGAAAAAAAGTGTGTTGAAAGACAACTCCCGTGGTTTCTCGTGCAGCTTCGCTTTCATATCGGGAGTGCCTCTGTCATAAAAGTCATCATAAAAATCTCATCATGAAACATAGGAGAAAGGCAGATCGCGTCACGTCATCTCTGATTTGAGTGTGGCTCTCATGTGCAGTGAGATTCTTGACGCAAAATGAGTTGCATTGGAAACAAGCAGGATTATCATACCTGTTGACAGATTTCTTCGCTTGGTGAGAGAGGGGAAGGAAAAAAATGAGATTTTCAGGCCCTGCTACTGGGTTAAATGACTTATATGGATGGATTCTTGCTACAGTGCTGAGAAGGAGATAGGAGAGAAATGGGGGGGGGATACAGCTGCAGAAAGAGGGAACGATGGATTGGAGTGGAGAGACAAAATGAAAAGAGAGGGAGAGAGAGGGGAGGTATAATGGAAAGAAAGCAGGAAAGTGAGCGAGAGGCCAGTCAGTAACTGCCTTAAAAGGGCAGAAAGTAGCTTCAGAGGATAGACAGAGAGAGAGGAAAACACAGACGCAAACTGCCGGCCGTTCACCCAGCAATTCACATTGCACCTAACCATCTCTGCGAAGCATCCATGTGAGCGCGTGTGCGTGTTAGACAGACACAAGAAGACGGGCGATGATAAAAGAAGACGGAGGGAAAATATAGAGCGACGGAGGGCCGTTCTGTTTATACGTATTTGTTTGGAGGGAGGTGTGTGTGTGTGTGTGTGTGTGTATGTGTGTGTGTGTGTGTGTGTGTGTGTGTGTGTGTGTGTGTGTGTGTGTGTGTGTGTGTGTGTGTAGTGAGTTGTGAATCTGCCTATCTAATCTCCCCTTGTTTATACGTGTGTGTGTATACTGCTTGGTTGACAGTCTGAGGGATTTGGAGCTTTTAGGTGGTATAGGAGGGGAGTGTGTGTGTGTGTGTGTGTGTGTGTGTGTGTGTGTGTGTGTGTGTGTGTGTGTGTGTGTGTGTGTGTGCTGCTGAGTGAGTTGGGTTATGGTAGGGGAGAGATGGTTGAAGAGATAATATTTACCCCCACCCCCCTCACACACCCTGCAATTAAACGAGGCTTACACGGGGTTGCAGGAGAAGAAAAGCAAACATCCTCTCTCTGTGTCTCGCTATCTCCCCTCTTCTTCTTCTATTTCTTCTTCCCCTCTTATATTTTTTTTTAAAGTCACATGTTGACATTTGAAATTTTAGGCCTGTTGTTATTCCTCACCAGCCACTCGCCACATTAGTGGAGGGGGGAAAAGAAATCACTGTTGGCTTCTAATGAGACATTTTATGTACACACATTATGTATGGCCCTCGTAGAGCTGCTAATGAGTGCTGAAAATTTACATACTTTACATTTTTCGCTCATATTTTCTCATTCTGCACCCTGATGTAGTGCATGTGTCTTGATTTCTTTTTCCCTTTTATACGGATAATATTTCACATTTATGTTCATATTGTACAAGTTGCTCATTCATCCTTTTTTGCAAAAGGTTTTCTTACCCATGAATACTGAGATGCTGTCTGCTTTTTCTACTTTTTAACTTACCCATTAGGCACTCAGAAGCCCGCTGGTTCCCGGAGGACCTAATTCGTTAACAATGTGGTCAAACTAATTCTCTAGTAGTAGTTTGTAGCAAACTAGGGGTAAAATAAAATAGGGTTAGATTGTGCATTTTTGGGATGGAGGGCGGCATCTAATTGTTTGGGGGTGGGGGGTCTAATATAATAGGGTCTTTTCCTTTAAAATATAAGTGTGTCTCAGGGTGTATGCTCTTGTGATTTGGTGCTATTAAAATTGAAATTGTCCCTGCTGTTGCCAGAGGTGTTTAACAAATTTAAATGAAAGACTCCTACAAACAGCTAGAAGGAACAAACACATTTTTAGCTCATGATATATTGTCAGTTTTAATAAAGAGCTTAATGGAATACAGTTCAACAATAGCACTGGAGTCTGTGAACAGGGCAGCTTAATTTAGCTGCACTGGTGCACTGCACTAGCCTATATGAATAATGAAAAGTAGCAGCTTTTTCCTCTCTGCTACAGTTCCCTGTCACTCTGTGCTCACGCTGGGCTTAAATGTGGTGATGAAAAAAAGGTTTGGGGAACACAGCAAGTCTTTCCAAGTGCAACAACTTTTGCACAGGTGTCTCACTGTAGGTGGCATTTGTACAAATAACGGTAAAGAGCGAAATGATGTGCGGTGGTAGTGCAAATGGCAGAAAAGCCAGAAACCAAATATAGGGTTTATTTTAAATT